CATGCCGTTTGTAGATGGCATGGGCCTGTGGTGCTGATGTTTCATCACTTGATGTCTCCAGAGGCTGAATAAAGAACTCTTCATCAGACAACTTGAAGAGTCCCGTCTAAAGAAACAAAGAGCTGTAAGTCAGTTCTTCAAATCTCTTTAAACTATTTTAACTGTTGCCAAAGAGTGAACTGCTGAAATGTTGAGAAACAGAAAAAAAAAATGAATTCTTCAAAGGCACTTTTAAACAAAACATTGCTCTTGATTTGATCTTCTGTTGTCAAAGATACAGTATGTAATGGGTAGGCAAGACATCACACAACTGCATACAACATTAATTAGTAAGTTATTCCACGTTTTTGACATGAAAATTGATCAGAAGCATTTTTATATATTATGCTCTGCATAATTTTGCGTTTGCTCTCACGGTGCCATATTTAATGATCTTACTTTAATAAACTTACATCATCTTACACCATAAACAACCGAAGATTTCCGCTTTTGAGTATTTTGATTGGAGAATTACAAAAAAGTGGAGACACTCTGTTTGCAAAGTATTTAAAATCTACATGTAGCCAGCAACATCTTTAAAAAAAACAAAATGTTGCAACAAGAGGATTTCTTTTTACCATGCCAGGTGTTTGGAAACTGAGATCAGCTGATCTAGTTCTCTAGAAATTGAATTATTCTTTTTCTTGTTCCAGCTACTCCACACCTTCTTTGTCTATTTTTCCCCCATTTCATAATGTATCAAATGTTTGCAGTGGGAACAAAATCTGGGCTGCAGGTCGGCCAAGCAGCACTCTTTAACTATGCAGTCTGTTACTTTATGTGCTGCAAGTGTTCAATCCAAGTCCCTAATTTTTATGGTAGTAAAATTATGCATTTGCATTTTTAAAGGCAAACTGGCCTCAGAGTATACTCCACCTCTGACCCACTAACAGCTGAGAGGCTCCAGCCTGGCACAACCCTGAACTGAACAAGCAGTTAAGAAAATACAACCTGAATAAACGCGCTAAGTGGTACTTTCTAAAACTGTAAATATTTAATATTATTAAATACAAATATTATTATTAATATATATAAACATTACATACAGTACTGAAGACTAGTGAATAAAAATGCACAAGCACGTGAAAACACATCGAGTAAGCTCCCACTGAAACAGCAAAAACAGCCCCAAGTCATAATTTTTCTGTCGTACGACTGGGCCGGGGGAAAGATCAAATGTCTTTTAAGCAACTGCATAGTAAATCAGGCAGGCACTAGGCCAAAACCAAATTCCCCTAGGCCCCCTGTTGACCATCGCTGTCTTATATTTCATTCTTATCCACCCCCTGCTCCAGTTAATCCCTTTTTCATCTTACACAGTGTCCAAGTGAAGCTCAGGCAGGAGGGCTGGCCATTATATCCGAAGTCCACACACTAAAAGCTGAGCAGCAAAAATAGTTTTCATCCCATCTCCAAAAAAAAAATACAATATCAAAGATATACTGGCTTTAAAGGTTGGCTGTTGGTTGGTGCTGACATTTCCCAAAATGCTGCATCATTCCAATTTAGAATCAAGTGTACTGACTCAGGTAACAGGTTGAGTAAATAACACAGAACCTTCAAATGTAACATTTGAAATGTAAAATAAGCCATTAAACACGTCAGTTAATCAGAATCAGAATACTTTATTAATCCCGAAGGAAATTAAAAACATCTAACATGTTCTTGTTTTAATCTGTCTCTTGTCTTAGTAAATGCAATCACAGCTCACTGGATAACAATTTCAGTGCTCACTGGACCAGTGCAGTAAATCAGGGGTGAAATGAAATCCAGTCATTAAAGTATGTTTCTATTGTAACCGAGTTTCATTTGGAAATCTGCACAATTTTCAAATACCTGCATACCATTTAAGCTGTTTTAGCCTGACCACGGTGGAGGTGCGTATGGAAGCTGATCTACAACTTCGGCCCAGCTCCTTTTCTTTCTCTCTGACTCAGTTGGTGTTATTTGTCTTGTGTACTATGTTAAGTGTGGGAGGCTCTTTCTCCAGCTTCAAGGAAATGCACGGATGCAAGAACAATAGTCATGCTGGGAAATATAAATATTGTGGTTGGAATAATCTTTTGTGATTTCGTATTTGGGAGGGAAACTTACACACATAGTTAACATATAAATATGTAATATATTTCAGTAAGAAAGGGAGGCTTGTTGATCTGAAGTTGTGAGTCATTTGGGAAGTGTTGCAGTCTGTCAACATGATAGAGTCACAACCACAGGAAGAAACCGTCCTGAAACTACAGGTTTCTGGCTGTGATCTAAAACATGAGGACTTATGGGACTCCTTTGCAAGATGCTCTTTTGTGCAGCACTTCAGATTTGAAAGTGAAGAATAATCTGCAGACAGTCAAAGAAGATGACGCACGTAAAATCGACTCTATCAACGTTAAAGATGTGTAACTGAATTTTCTATCAAAGTTTCTTCATCTGTAATATCAGCCAGCTTTGAAAAACGAAAAAAGGATCA